ACAAGTGAGGATATACTCCCTCCTAACTATTCACAATGACGATTATACAATCTATATTAATTTTGCTAACTAACAAATAACTTAATTCTGTTACATAGGATGTCATTCATGAATTCTACTTGTTAAAATATGTGTTAAAATCTAGTACCTTACCTGAGAGATCCAGGTGATGCTTTCTGTTCACACTTTCAATTGCAGAGGTAGCGCAACATCTCTGAACACTGACGTTATAACACTGGCGATGTTGGCTTGGTGGACAACAATAGTGAAGTCTTAGTATTACCCGACCAGTACTAATATACTGCGTATCTATATAAAACTTCACATTCATATAACCTACTTACTAGTAACTAATGTCTATGGCTCTTTCCTTTTGTTTATAGTGCGCAACCAGTTTGGGTGTACCTTCATACATGTAATTATACACATTGTATCTGCAAATTCATATGTGCATTTCGGATAAAATAATTCCATCTCAACAAGTAAGTAGCCGTCGCAATTATTAACGTAGTTTCCAAACATAATGGGAATACCGGAATTGCTGAGATAAAGTTTAAGCGCCGTCAAATTATAAGACTTCGTTAGTACTACGCTTTCCTCAGTTCTGCTGATTTTTACTCGCCCTTCACCGCCTCGGAGTAGCTTGGAGCTGGTGCCGATGGAATAGCGCTATTCTGCTCAGGCGGCGGAGCGCTGTACTGCACCTGAGGGTACTGCTGTTGCTGTACAGGGTACGGGGGCTGCTGTCCGGGGGATGGCTATGCTGGGTACGGTTGCTGTCCGGGGGATGGCTGTACCGGGTATGGCTGCTGTCCGGGGGATGGCTGTACCGGGTACGGCTGCTGTCCGGGAGACGGCTGTCCCGGGTAGAGTTGCTGCTGTCCAGGGTACACCTGCTGTGCAGGCATCTGCTGTACCGGATAGGGCTTATGTCCAGGCTGCGGAGAAGGCTGTCCCGGGCCGGCTTTAGAAATCAGGAGAAAGTTAAGATATCGGGCGTTGAAAAAAAAATAACGCTCTAAGTTCTATGAATCAATGATATAGGAAAAGATCTCAGAATCTCTAGATCTTCCATTGCTATAGGGTTATGAGGACATTCATTTCCCCATAGAACTGAGCATCTCTAAGGCTCTATCAGGCTTCAGAAGCGGCTGGAAAGAGTAGAAATTGGTCACTTAGACAAATCACATGCCAGAGGAGCTGATCCGCTAAAGGAGCGGCAAACTGTACTCCTTTAGCGGGCCAGTTCCCCTGGCATGTT